CAGGAAGACCCCCCACAGAAGCTCCAGGAGGCCTTCAAGAAGCCCGAGCCAGGCTCCAAGAAGACCCGTAGAGGCCCCCGAGACGCCCCAACGATACCCCAAAACGGCCTCCAAGAGGCTTCCGAAATGCCTCAAGAAGCCTCTGATCTACAACCAAGGCACGATGGCGGCATGTGCCGAAGGCCACCAGATGCGCGGCCCCCTGTGTTTATCACAAGGGTGCGCGGCGTGCTGAACATTTTTACCGGTTCGACAGCTCTTCGTCTTGACCCTCCAGCCACACGGAAAACCATCACAATCAAGACGGTCCCAAGATGCTTACAAGACGGCCAAGACGGACAGAAGAGAGCCCCAAATGCACTCCAGACGGCCCCAAATGACTCCCAAACGGCCCAAGATGCCCTCCAGACGGGCCGAGAAGTCCCCAAGACGCCCCACGAGGGCTCCAAAAGGATCTCCAGGAGGCCCAAATCATGGATTCCACTGGAGTTTCGTCAATCTTTTTCGCGTTCTCGCCATTTTGGGCTTCCGGCATCCGAAGACTGCCCTAGAAGCCTCCAAGATAGCCCCAAGACGGCCTGCGAGGCCCAGAAGAGGGGCCCGTGACGGCCCAAGAGAGCCGCAGGACAGCCCAATAGGCCCCAAGACGGCCTCACACTCTCCAAGACGGCCCTAAATCGTTCAAAGAGGACCCCACGACGCCCTCTAAGAGGCTCCCCAAGAGGCCCCAAAGATGCCCGCAAAAGACCCCGAAAAGGCCTCCAAGAGACCCCAAGAGGCCCTCAGAGGCCCCCAGAAAGCCCCAGGAGGCCCAAAAACCTATTTTTGTCTCGTCGTCCTCCTCCTCCTCCTCCTCCTCCTCCTCCTCCTCCTCCTCCGCCTCCGCCTCCGCCTCCTCCTCCTCCTCCTCCTCCTCCTCCTCCTCCTCCTCTCTCTCTCTCTTCCTCCTCTTCCGCCTCTTTTGCTTTAGGCGTGTCGATAGGGCGGGCCAGACGTTTGGCATGAGACTTCCTCACAACTTCTGACGCTGAAGCTGGACATTTGCAACCGTTTCACGGATGGGGGGAGAGATTTTCAGAATGTGGCTCTCGCCTTCGCGCCGCGCGCACTCGTTTCAAAAGTTTGCAACAGCTTCGCACTTGAAGGCGGGTGGTGGTGGCGATTTTCCAAAAAGTGGCTCCCGCAAAAGCGCCGCGCGCATTCGTCTCAAAAGTTTGCAGCAGTTTCACTGATGGAGGGGGGTCGCTTTCAAAATGTGGCTAACGCATTAGCTCCGCGCACGCTCGTCTTAAAAGTTTGTTACAGCTTCACAAATGGATTGGGGTCCTTTTCAAAATGTGACTTTCGCCGTAGCGCCGCGGACCAGCGTCCTAAATGTCTGCTACCGTTTCAAAGATGGAAGGCGAGGCCACTTTCAAAGTGTGGTTCTCGCCGTTGTGCCGCGCACGCTCGTCTTACAAATTTGGAACACTTTCACCGGTGGAGGGCAGTTTATTCTAATACTGTGGCTCTGGCCTTAGCGCCGCGCGCACTCGTATTATAAGTTGCAGCAGTTTCTCGGGTGGTGGTTGGTTCATTATCAAACGGTGGCTCTCGCCTGAGCGCAGCGCGCGTCCCATAGAAATTCGAAACACCTTCACGTGTGTCTGTGGGTCCGTTTTCAAAATTTGGCTCTCGCATTTTGGGCGCCGCGCACGCTTGTCTTTGCAACCGTTCCACACATGGACTCTTTTCAAGATGTGGCTTTCTCTGCAGCGCCACGCGCCATCGTCCTTAATGTTTGCAGCAATTTAACAAATGGACGGGGGGGGGCTGTTCAAAGTCTGCTCTGGCCTTAGCGCCGCGCACATGCGTCTGACACGATTGGAGCAGTTTCATACAAGGGGCGCATTTTTTTCAAACTGTGGTTCTAGCCTTAGCGCCGCGCACACGTCTTCAATATGTGCAGCATCTTCACGGATAGAGGGCGATTCGTTTTCGAATGGTGGCTATAGCTTTAGCGCTGCGCGCGCTCGTCATACAAGTTTGTAGCAGCTTCACTGATGGAGGGGGGTAGTTTTCAACATGTGGCTCACGCGTTAGCGCCGCGCACACTCGTCTCAAAAGTTTACCTCATTTCCAGGATGGAAGGAGGGTCGTCATAAACATGGCACACTCGCCCTAGCGCCGCGCAATCGTCTTCACGGATTGAGGCTGGTTCCTTTTCAGAGTGGGGCTTTCGCCTTAGCGCCACGAGCATTCGTCTAAAAATCTTGCAACCGTTTCAAGGACCGAGTACCTGCCGTTTTCAGAATGGAGCTCTCGCCTCAGCGCTGCGAACATTACAGCTATCCTGTGGTGATGGGTTTCGTTTTGAAGAGACAGCGCCCCGCGCCTGACTTCCGCCTTTTACTGCCCCTCCCCTCCTCCCCTCCTTGCTCCTGCCCTCCGCGTGCAAATTTCGTCACTCCTCTCACACGTTTCGTGGCCCCATATGGAGCTCCACAAGCCCCAATGACACTGTTCACATGCTGGCGTCGCAACCGCTTCGGGACACCCCTCACACGTTTCGTGGTCCCTTCAGGAGCTCCCCAGACGCACTGTCAACATGGTGGCGCCGCACCCTTTTCGGCCCACCCCTCATACGTTTCGTGGCCCCGTACGGGGGCTCCAGCGAAGACCCCAGAAGCACCGTCCACGTGTCACACCCATTTCGGCACACTAGTACGTTTTGAGGCCCCATGAAAGGGGGGCTCCACCGAAGACCCCGGGAACACCGTCCACATACATGGTGGCGTCAAACCCGTTTCGACACCCCTCGCACGTTTCAAGGCCTCAAGGACAGCTCCACCTAAGGCCCCAATCACACCGTCCACATAGTGGCGTCACACCCGCTTCGTAAGCCCCTCACGCGTCTCGTAGCACCACAACGAGCTCCGCTTACAACCACACTGGAACCGCCCACATGGTGGCGTCAAACCCGTTTCGGCACACCACTTATATGTTTCAAGGCCCCAGAGGCAGCTCCACCTAAGGCCCCAGTAGCACCGCCCACATGGTGGCGTCACACCCGTTTCGGCACACCCCTTCACATGTTTCGTAGCACCATCAGGAGCTCCACTTACAACCACAATGACACCGTCCACATGGTGGCGTCACACCCGCTTCGGCACACCCCTCACACGCTTCGTACCACCACAAGGAGCTCCACCGAAGGCCCCAATGGCACCGTTCGGACGGTGGCGCCACATCCGTTTCGGCACACCCCTAACACGTTCGGCGGCCCCATGAGAAACCCCACCTAAGGCACCAATGGTACCGCCAACGTGGGGCTGTCACATCCGCTTCGGCACACTGCTCACACGTGTCGTGGTTCCATCGGGGGCTCCACTTAATTAGGGCCCCAGAGGCGTCGTCCACATGTGGGCGTCCCGCCCGTTTCGGCAGACCCCTCACACGTTTCGTGTCCCCCTTGGCAGCTCCACCTAAGGCCTCGCTGGCACCGTTCACATGTGGGCGTCAATCTGGTTTCGGCACGGACGGCCGCAATGGCAGGAAATACATGCGTCCCCAAGCCCATTTTGGCACACCCTTCACACGCTTTGTGGCCCCACGGACCTCCCCCTTCTTCGTCCCGTGCCGCGCGGTACTCACACATGCACTTGATTGGGTCCCTCGCTAGGCAATTTGTATCATTATTTCCAGATGCCCAAAACAATGCTTGCACATATGGGGTTCTTACTTTCTCCCCTACGGAATCAGCCTGTCTGCCGCTCTGGCGGCTATGTTGCCGCCGTCGCCACCCCGTCGCCGCCTCGTCGCCGCGCGTCGTCTGGGCCTGTCTGCAGATGTGGCGGCTATGTTGCCGTCGTCGCCGCCCCGCGAGCTGGGCCTGTCTGCCGCTGTGGCGGCTATGTTGCCGCCGTCTCCGCCACCTCGCCGCCTCGTCGCCGCGTCGTCTGGGCCTGTCTGCAGCTGTGTCGGCTCTGTTACCGTCGTCGCCGCCCCGTCGCTGCCTCGTCGCCGCCAATCGTCTGGGCCTGTCTGCCGCTCTGGCGGGGTTGCCGTCGTCGCCGCCTTGCACAGGGCTTGCACCGCGTAGACTGGACAGCGCCTACTGCACAACATATCTTGCATGATAACACATGTATCGCACACGTCGGTTGTAAGAGATATATTGGACAACTCAGAACACATCACATACAATGCACAGCATACGCTGCGCAACATCATCTGTTGCATCACGTAGATGCCACTACCTATATGTCACAACATTGATTGCACCACAGGTGATGTACACCATACATGTATGGCAACACACATGATGGAGTCCACGCTGTGTGACATATACACATACATGCATGAGCGATCTTCAGCAGGATGGAGGACTGCTCTAGTTCAAACTTGGGTTCTCGCCGAAAGCTTTGTTAAGTTTAAGGGTCCGAAGCTTCAATGCATGTAGCGTTGTACGGATCCATGGCGAATCGTTTCGAACATGGAACTGTTGCTTGGACTGTCCGCGAAGTGCATGACCCCAAGTGTAACTTTGTGCAGCCAGTTTCACAGATGGAGGGTGGCCTTTTTTTCCGAAAGGGTGATCTTGCTGGACGCCTCGTTGAACTGCATGGGCATTGCTTCTCGCATTCCCGACTGCGCGAGAGAAGTATGCGAGGCAATTCCATTTCAAAGCGGGACCCTCGCCAAACAGGCAGACCACACTGTGCTGGTCTTTCAAATGGGCTCTTCTGGCAATGAACAAGAAGACATGTAGGGGCGCATGAGGGGACTTGGGACGGGATGGTGTATTGCAGCATCGCCCATGGATATTTGGTTTGCTCTGGTCCTCCTCCTCCTCCTCCTCGTCCTCCTCCTCTTCCCCCTCCCTCACACAGGTGCCCCCCCCCAGGGATTCCACAACAGTTGGGGGAACACGAAATCCTGCAGCCTGGCCAGACTTTGACCCACCGTCTGGCCGCATGGTCGTCTCCACAGGCAGAGGGCGGCGATGGTTTGCCATAGGCGTCTTCGGTATAAACACATCGTTGAAATCGAGGCGCATGCGACTACTCTACAATAGGGGCAAAGCACAGAAACACGCACGGCGACCAGCGCACTACCGTGATCGTGGAGCACCTGGGCCGCGGGGAAGAACATCCGTGGGCACGGTCAAAGGGCCGAGGAGCAAGAGGAGGAGGAGGAGCAAGAGGAGGAGGAGGAGGGGGAGGAGGAGGAGGAGGAGGACGAGGAAGAGGAAGAGGAAGAGGAGGAGGAGGAGGAGGAGGAGGAGGAGGAGGAGGAGGAGGAGGAGGATAGTTAAGTACGAGTAGGAGGAGGACGAGAAGGAGGAGGAGGAAGAGGAGGAGGAGGAGGAGGAAGAGGAGGAGGACGAGGAGGAGGGTGAGGAGGAGGACGAGGAGGAAGAGGAGGAAGGCGCCTTGTTGCTCCCTGCGGCGACGTGGCCGGTTTGCGCCCGCGGCGCGGCTTGCGGATGCACAAGGGTAAAAGGAGGAGGAAGACGAGGAGGAGGATGAGGAGGAAGAGGGGGAAGAGGAGGAAAAGGACGTGGGGCAGGGAACGCCGGGGAGGCAGGCGGCGCCGAGGGTCGACGGCGCACCCCGTGCCCTCGTCCCCCCCCCCCCTCCCCCTCACCCGGCCTGCGCTGGTTCTGGCCAGGCCCGCGGGAATAAACGACAACGTGGGCACAAACGCACTCCACTGAGCTCGCGAACGAAGGCCAAGAGCACCCAATACATTGGGCACGGATGCGAGCCTCTGGGCTGGAACAAGCCATGCAGGAGCAGGGGTGGGGCAAAGAAAACAATTTACCTTGACGCTGCTACTGCTTCTGCTGCCAGTGCCGCAGCTCCCTAGCATTCCTAGCCTACTCGTCCATGTGTGCACCTCATCCCTCCTTGCCCTCGCCATTATCGTTATCCTTGTCCACCTCCTCCTCCTCCTCCTCCTCCATTCTTAGCGGCGCATCACTTTGCTTCGATCATCCCGAGGCCGATGCCTGCATCATCGTATGCGTTTCATGGGGACGGAGACACAACATCAGCACCTGAACGGCAACCGTTCATGTCCCACCCAAAATCTAATAGCACGCCCCCCCCCCGGGCTCCTGGCAAGTTGGAGCTCGCAAGACGTCTCACGTACAGCCGTTTCTCATTCAACTTTCGATGAGGAGTGTCTTTCCCCGAACGACGCCGCGCGGTTTGCCCGCCGCTTTCCTCGTCGCGCGCGCGCGAGACGGCAGCGGGCGGCCAAAGCCGACGCGTCTACTGCGACGCCGCTCTAAAGCGACGCCGCGCGGCGTGCGCGCTGCTTTCCTAGAAACCGTGTAGAGGCCGCTAGGCACCGCCTATAAACCGGTGTAGAAACCGATATGACTCACATAGAAACTGGTGGGCACCTTAAGCGATTTCGAACTTTTGAATTTTTCTTAATGGATTCGACAAACTTCTATGTAAATCATACTGGTTTCTAAACAAATGTCTGGAACAAAATTTCTAACGGTTTCTACACGGTTTGCCGGAGACTCTTGCGTCGCCAGGGGCGTTCCCGCGATGGCGGCGGCGGCTGGCATGGCGCTGCGTTCCGCCCACTGTCGCGACATAGCGAATGCGCCCCCGTGCCGCTTCGCGCCGAGACAAGTGGGCGCCAACGTAAAACGGCAACGTCGAATGTACACATGACCGTTACATTGCACTATCTAACTCTGGTGCGTGCGAAAAAGACGACCATCTACGCGAACGACTACGCCAATAGACGCGCCCGGAAAGTCCGCGCGGGGTGCCCTTTCGCTCTGCCTACATCTCGGAACGCGCAGAGACGAACGCGAAGCCGGCGCGCAGCGCGCCACACTCCTTCCAACACCCCCCACCCGTTGTGCAAAGCTGGATGCAGGCGCAGACTGCGCCACCCGGCCCGCGCCAGCTTTGCGCCATGAGGGGGGGAAGGGGGAGGTCAGACAGGGGTAAGTCCACGGTTGACGGCTTTGCTCTCGCAGCCTTGGTCCTTTTTCTCGCCCCAGACAATTTTCTTCCCCTGCTTTGGTCAATATAATATTATATTATAGTGTCCTGCTCTCGGATAAGGTCTTTCCAATCTAACTCAGACTGAAGAAAGTTACGGCCCCGACCTGAGAGCTTCCATGCGCGCGTTGAAATTTCAAGCTGGAATCGGAGAGCGGCTGTAGGACCGTTCCTACTGCCACTGCTCCTCATCGGCTGCTGCTGCTACTTCCTGGCCTCCTCCTAATCTTTCTATTTCTTCAACTCCTCTCTGCATCGTCCCCCTATCCTGCATCTTGACGTTTCTGGTTCCTTGTGGGGCTCCGCAAACTTAGGGGGGCCTGGCACCGATCCAAGAAATCCGCGCGGACCTCCGAAATTTGATGCTCATGCAGTCTGAACTTCTTCGAATGCTGCAGAAAGCGACGCTACATATTTCCCAGCACTGCTGACCAAATGGTGATGCCAGGGCTTCTGAGTAGGAAGGGGGTGCTTCCTCCAGACACTTCGCTTCGGTGGCATCTCATGCGAGCCTCCCATACAATCTTGCTGGCTCTTGCGAATCGACGCTGACGGACGCTATTTGACGCTAATCGACGCTAAGTCGGCGCGTTCGCATCGATTGCCAGCACGCTGGTGCACTCTGAAGACGTAATTACGAGGCATGCAAGGTTCCCCCGATCTGCGACCACACTTCGTCTGCGCTCTTGCCCGCTTTGTTTTTCCTCTCTCTCTCTCTGTTTCTGTATTTCTCTACCTTTTCACGGCGACTGCACGCGATCAGTCAGCATCGAATCGGGAAATCGGATCGAGTCGAAATGCGCGTTGGATCGGGCTGCATCGGCACGAAATCGAAATCGGACCGAATCGCCCGCGCCAGGACGCATAACAGCGCCATGCAAGCATCGGGCGGCATCGGATCGCCCAACTATTGGAATCGAACCAGATCGGGCCGGCCGGAATCGACACCGAATCGGATCGATCGGGTCGAAATGGACCCTGCACGCTTCGTCTGCGCTCTCGACCGCTGTCTCTCGCGCTCTTCACGGCGAATGCCGTGCGGTCCTCCATGCTGCCTCAGGACAAACAGAAAACGCAGACACGCAAAAGGCTGCTGGGCCGTCTGGGCAGTGGGCCTGCGGCTCCGGTGGCGCGCGTAGCGTGAAGAGGAACGGTCGCAGCACACATAATTTGTAGTTCCTTCTCCTCTTCCTCTTCCTCTTCCTCCTCCTCCTCCTCCTCTTGCTCGTCGTCCTCCTCCTTCTCCTCCTCTGCCTCCTCCTCTACCTAGTTCCGTAGCCATTTTGGCTCAAGCCATCGTGCCATTCCCGAACCCTGCCGCTGGGCCGCCCCCGCGCGCCCGCCTCGTGTTCGAGCGATGCCGACGGCGAAGCACGCCCTGGATGCCGCCCGCGGCGCGGCCCTCGCGGTCCACGCGGCGGCAGGGCTGTCGGGCGGCTTGGAGCAGCGCGAGGCCACGCGCCTGCTCCGTGCTGCCGAGGGCCTCGTGCGGGCCGCGGTGGCCAGCCTGGCGGCGCCGCCTGCGCCCGCCCTGCCAGCCCGAGCGGCTGACCAGCCTGCCGCGCCCCCTCGGCGGCGGCGGCGGCCACGCGGCGGCAGCGGCGGCGCGAAGGTCGAGGCCGCGAGCATGGACATCGACTCGGCCCACGAGGTCAAGGGGGAGGCGCAGGCCGACGGCGGCGCTGACGGCGCGGGCGCTGCGACGCGGGGCGGTGCCCCTGGCGCGGAGCCCGCACGCGGGGACGCTGGCGGCGAGTCGGAGCTCGAGCCCGACGACTGGGCCGATGGCCTGGTGAAGGCGGCGCCTGGCGAAGTGCAGGCAGGCGGGCCGCGGGAGGTCCCCGGCATGATGGACGGGGACCGCGTGCGCTTCCCCGATGGGCGCGGGGGCTGGCAGTTCGGCCTGCTGTACGGTGACCCCGAGCCCGAGGACGGCCTCATCTGCGTCCTGTGCGGCCAGGGGCGCAAGGTGACCGTCCAGCAGGTCGCCCTCGTCGACGTGGAGCTGGCGCCCGTGGCGACGGTTTCTGGGGCGGCGGAAGCGGCGGCGGGCAAGAAGGGCAAGGGCGACAAGTAGGGGCCTCCGCCCCTCCTGTGTCCGCGCTGCTCTTCGACCCGCTGCGCTTACACATCTGATCTGGGCTTCCAGACCTTAGTGCTGTGCACTCCCCCTTTCGAGGGCATTCCATTCCATTCCATTCCATTCCATTCCTCTACCTAGTTCATAGTTCCTTCTCCGACCCCTCCTCCTCCTCCTCCTCCTCCTCCTCCTCCTCCTCCGATTCCTCCTCCATCTCCCCCCCCTTGGGGTATGACGGCATCCCCGGCCCTTTATTCCACTGCATGCATCTCCATATCACCGATCAGGGCACCTCGCCTGGGTATCGTTTCTGGATGGGCTGGTGGGTTTACGCGACGGGTCTAGAATAGCATTCTACGTGCAGTCGAGAACTTTTGAATACAGTAGGCGCCCGACCACGAGAAACCCTCCACAAGAAACCCAACCCTGAGACCCCCGGAAGCCCATCGATTTTGGGTGCGGGAGCGTCACGCTTTCCATCGAAAACCAAGAAACCCAGGGCACCCTGGAGGCAAGCAGGGTGTTTCTTGGCATGAGTCTCCACTGTGGGCCAGAACCGACGGAGCGACACGCTATCCAAAACTTCCCGATCGTAGTTCATAGCTCCGTTTTTTTCCTACGATGACTTCTTACGCACGTGCTAGGGCAACGCGTCCATACCTCTTTGCATGCTCAGTGTCAGTAGTCACTCTGGCTCAGAAGAGCACCGCAAGGGAGCGGAACGCTAGCCCGATACTGACAACACGCTGAATCAACGTTTTTTGTTTTTGCATCGTCTGGTTTGATTCTGTGAACCTGGTTGGAAAGGCTTCGGGCTGCGCACATACAACCTCCCCCCAAGTAGTCCCGGCTGGCCTCAGCAGGCCCCCCGAATAGTCCCAACTGACCTCAACAGGCCTCCCGAATAGTCCAGGGCGATCTCAACACCCTGGCGCCGCCTCCAGACTACTTGGGGGGGCCTGCTGAGGACGGCTGGGACTACTCGGGGGGGCTTGTTCAGGCCAGCCCCAGGTCGTCCCACTTGGCCTCAACAGCCCCCCCGAGTGGTCACAACTGGCCTCAACATGTTTCCCGAGTATTCTGGAGGCGGCGCCAGGAATACCTGGGGGGGCTATCTGTGCGCAGCGCGAAGCCGTACCAATACAATGCACGTGCTCTCTCCGCGCGGTGGGGTTTCGGGCCCAGGCTGCCTCGTGCTAGACGCCGGCAGCCTTCCTGGCCTGCGAATAGAAATCGCCCTTGACCTGGCCGGTCCAGTGCGGGCAGCACCCGTCCTCGGCCTCGAATGTATCTGGCGGCGGCCGCTGCGCTGATACCCCTCCTCCTCCTCCTCCTCCTCCTCCTCCTCCTCCTCCTCCTCCTCCTCCCTTGACGCGCTTCCAAACTGAGGTCCGCTCGGGCGTCTGTCAGCAGGCTGGCGATCGCTGTACATCCATCATTATTGTCGAACTCCGTGACTCTGCGGCCGAGGGTCGCCCGCGAAGGTGCGCCTTTCCGTCAGCGCAGGACTGGACGCTCACGGGGCATCTTTTGCCGCCGCCTCACCCACCGCGAGCAGCGGCTGGCTGCCGCGGGCTCCTCTTCCTGCTCCTCCTTCTCCTCCTCCTCCTCTTCCTCCTCCTTCTCTTCATGTACAAGGGAACACTTCGCTTCGTGGGTTTCTCCGTCCCAAGGATTCCGCCGATTGAAACATGATCGATCGTGCAGAACAGATGGCGCGCACCACGACGAAAAACGTTATGATTGAGTCTGGCCTCAGCATGGTGTCCTCGAAATGGCCACGGGGCGGCAGCGAGGCGAACATCCTGAAGGGCGCCTCGTTCCACACGTACGACGTAGGACCCCTCAGCGCAAGCATTGTTGTGGGCTACATCGTCGACATATTTTTGCGACCTCAGACGAAAGATTGTGGACCGTGCTCTTGAAAGAGTGCCCCGGCAGAGCCGAGCACACACACACACACACATTCGCACACACACACACACACGCACACACACACGCATTCACACACACATTCACACACATTAACACACAAGCACACACAAACACACACACATACACACTGCCTGCGCTGGGCGGCATCTTCCGCGAGTGAGGCAACCGCCACCATAGACGAGCGCAATCATCGGCTGGGCCTTGATAAAACATGATCTCCTCGTTTCCCCGACACGCGAAACACACATATCTCATTAACGTATACCCTTCGACCTCGTTCTTTTCGTTCGACCGGCATCAATGCTTATTCACCCCGCGTCACTCGTGTTCATGTTGAACTTGATCACGTCAACGTACTGCTTGCAAGTGCTGCCTTAGAGCGGCTATAAACAACTCAATTGGTCTTGAGCCGACCCATCAAGTGTCGGCTAAGAAAACGACGAACGCCGATATCAAATCCGCCGATCCGGCGTGTGAGTTTCAAGGAGTCTCAGCTACAGCCTCGAGGCTGAGCCTCAGCCTCTGGGGGGGTTGCCGGGGTGGCTCTGCCGGGGAAGGGGGGGTGGGGTGGGGGGGGGTGCGAGTTTCCGGCGGATGCGTTTTTTGACACCCCTCACAAGGATCGTGGCCTCCGAGGGGGTTCCGAACTCGAGTACCAGCCCTCCCGCACCAAGAGGCTCCGAGGAGGCCTCCAAGAGGCCCCAAGGGGCGCAGAAGAGGCCCCCAAGAAGCCCCAAGAGGCTCCCAAGAGACCCCCAAGAGGCCCTCTAGTGGCCCCAAGAGGCCCAAGAGGCCCCCAAGAAGCCCCAAGAGGCGCCCAAGAGGCCCCCAGAAGTCCCAGCCAACCACGAGATCCCAACCAGCATCCATGAGGCCTCTGACCCACCACCCACGCACGGTGGCGGGATAGGCCGACGGCCACTGGATCCGCCGCCCCCTGCTTGCAGGGGTGCACGGCGTGCTGGATGTTTCAGGTTTTGGTTTTGGTTCTTTTTCTAAAAGAACTCCCCAGTGGGCTTCGGCCCGTCCCGCCGGCCACCCGTAATTTTCCCAAAATCCGTCTGTCAATGCCTTTGTTGCCCCAACTTGGCCCAAGATGGCCTCCAAGACGGCCAAGATGGCCCAAGATGGCCTCCAAGATGCCTCCCAGACGGCCAAGATGGCCTCCAAGACGGGTAAGATGGCTCCAAGATGCCTCCAAGACGGCCCAAGATGCCCTCCAAGACGGCCAAGATGGCCCCAAGATGCCTCCAAGATGGCCCAAGAGGCCTCCAAGACGTTCTCCAGGAGAGCCCGAAGAGGCCAAAATCATTGGTTTTCCTTAGGTTTTTGAAGGTTTTTTGCGTTTTCTTCTTTTCGGCCTTCCGACGGCCCAAGAGGCCCCCAAGATCGCCCAAGAGGCCTCCAAGAAGGCCCTATGACGGCCCAAGGGCCCCCCAAGACGGCCCCAAGAGCGCCCCAAGACGGCCCAAGAGGCCTCCAAGACGCCCAACATGGCCTCCAAGACGGCCCTGAAGCGCCCCAAGAGGGCCCCAAGACGGCCCAGAGAGGCCCCCAAGACGGCTCCAGACGGCGTCAGACGGACCAGGAACGCCCTAAGACGGCCAAAGAGACCCCCAGGAAGCCCCCAAAGGCCCCCAAGAGGCCCAAGGAGGCCCCCAAGATGCCTCCAAGAGGCCTCGAAGAGGCCCCCAAGAAGCCCCCAACAGACCCCAAGGGTGCCCCAAGAGACTCCTAACAACCCTCATCCTCCTACTCTATTTCTTCCTCTTCCTCTTCCTGTTCATAATCATTCTCTCCCATGTGTTCCCCGAAAGCTTTCCAAACCGACTCGGGGAACTCATGGTCCGATAGCTTGGCCAAGCTCTAGTCCAACTTTCGGCCACATCGGCGTTTCCAAAAAGGCAGGGGGCGGCGGTGATTCGCCGTAGGCGTCTTCGATAAATGCTGAGTGAGAGGAGGGGAGGGAAAAAGAGAGGAGGGACGAGGGCGAAGAAGGATCACATCAGTCGGAGCGCCCCGGATCGGCGGCACTGGCCGAAGGCCACTACAATACTTTTGTCGATCAACGGAATGCTCCTGGAACGTCGGAACTAGAGTGGCCCGATGCTCCTGAGAGAAGCTGTCAGATCACCCGCTGGTCGAATTCAAACAGATGGTCGAACACCATGCGAGTCAAACGCATGACACATGGCATGCTCGGGAAGGCAGTGCAAGGATACATGAAGAGTGCATCACGTCATTTACGGGGCAGAGAGGGCACAGCACAGGCAGCACAAATGACTGGAATCAGACGCGCCAGAAACAGCACTCAGCTGGACATATCAATTAAGAGGCTGCGCGATCGCGGAGACCACACGAATTGAGGCCACTGCAGAAAACGTACAGCTGCTTGCGGGCCTTGTCGAAGTAGCCCCATGTCAACCCTGGAGGCAACTCTGGCGCGTAGCGATTCGCGGCAGCCTTGCGGCGAATGGTGCAACGCCGATGTTGGGTGGCATAATGGATGGTGGCAGCGATGGGGCTCGGAAGGGGAGGAGCTGGGGTGCGGAGGACGAGGATGAGCAGGATGAAGGATGAGGCCGAACGTGCCCGAGGAGGAGGTGGACAAAACGGAAGACGAGAATGACTGGGTTGAGGAATAGCCGCCACGATGTCGGCCTCTGGTCGTTCCATGGCCGTGTCCAGGATGTGGCCCTGGCAATGTCCAAGGAGTTTCGGTGGCAACCGCATGTGGAAAAGTGGCAGAACGATCGGGATGGAACGTGGAAGACTGGGGAAAATCTACTGCATACAATGGTAGTCTTGTTCGCAGGTGGTAATCCTGGCAGGGCAGCTGTTTTCGTCTCGAAGCATACGGAGATTTCTCCTTGGGCCCAGGAGCAAATCTCTCAAGAAACACATTCCCCCATTCGAAACATCGGCCAGGAAGAATGAGGGGGAGGGAGAGGGGGATAATACTGATGGACAATGGGGAAGAGGGCACAAAGGAAGGAGGAGGGTGGGGGGAAAGGAGGAACCTCCGCTTGAACTCCCATGGATCGGTTCCGCCCCGCAAGGCGATGGCACCCCCCCTCCCCGCAGGACCTCCGGGCCATCGCAGCTCGGGCGGCGTCGAACACCAAAAGGGCGCCGAGAACCAAAGGAACGCCGAAAAGCGACAAGGCGCCGAAAACTAAAGGAGCACCGAAAACCAAAATAGCGCAGAAAACTAAAATGGAAAACGAAAACCAACAACACGCCGAACACAAAACAATGGGCCGCAAACCAAACATGCGCCGGAAACCACAAGGACACCGAAAACCACAAAGACACCGAAAACCAAATGGGCACCGAAAACCAAGACGGCGCCGAAAACCAACCGGGCGCCGAACACCCAAGGGGCCCCGCACACATGCAAAAAACGCTGAAAACCCTAGGGGCACGGAAAACCAACGATGCGTCGAAAACCAAAAGGGCGCCGAAAAATAAAAAAACAACTCCGATATATACAAAAAGGCGCAGAAAACGAAAGAGGCGACGAAACCAAGCTCCGAAGACGGACAGGGCGCCGAAATCAAAAAGAGCGCCGAAAACCAATTTTTCGCTAAACGCCGCAGGAACGCCGCAAACCGAACGGGCGCCGCAAACCGAAGAGGCGCCGAAAACCGAGGGGCACCGAAAACCAACGATGCACCCAAAGCCAAACAGGCGCCGAAAAACCAAGGACGCGCCGATAACCAAAAGAGCATCGAAAACCACGGGACGCCAAAAAAGAAAGGCGCGCAGATGGCCGAAGGGCGCCCAAAACCAAAGAGCGCCGAAAACCAACACGGCGCCGAAAACTAAAGGGGCGCCGAAAACCAGAACGGCACCGAAAACCAACGATGCGCCGAGAACCAAACATGGTGCGCGGAAAACCGAACAAGGCGTCGAACACAAAAAAAAACACCGAAAACCTCATGAGCGTCGGAATCCATAGGAGCGCCAAAAACATATGGAATGTGAGCTGCGTGGTGTAAGCTACAATCTGCGAGCTATGTGGCGTGAGCTACATGTTGAAATATACGTGGCATGAGCTATATGGTGTGAGCTATGTGGTGCAAATCGCCCTGCCGAACTTGAATTTGTCGACTCCACTGCTCGCGCAATCATCCCGCCACCCACCCGCAACTTGGTGCGCAAAGCCCATGCGGAGGCGATTGCGATGAGTGCTTGGTGTTGGCTGGTGCACCTCTGCGGCAGCGCTAGCCCGCACATGCTCGCGCGCGCGGCGGTCAGCTAGTTTGGCGCGACCGACGCGAACGCGGTATCATGGCAACGTCGACAACGGTAGACACGACGATGATCGTCGCGATGCTGGTGGCGATGTTGACAACGACGACGGCGCGGCCAATGACGGCGCCGATGCTGATCGCGCCGGCGATGATGACAGCGTCCGCGCGTCGGTGATGAAGGTTTCGGACGGAGTTCGACATGCGCGCGCGGCCGACTCACAAGTGGCCCGCGTGGCATTACTTGGCGCGGATCGTGCCCCCACAGCACGCGCGCAAGGGCGTTCGAATGATTTCGGCACGCGTCGCGAGAAGCCCGTTTGACTGAACTCTAAGAACATGTTGAACAACCTATGAATTTCTCAAGAATTCGCAAGAGCGCATGCTTTCTTTTGAAAACTGATGTTGCGAAACCAAATGTTTTTTTTTTGTACTGTTTCGCGACACTCGGTGTTGAAATCTTTACGAAACCGAAGCGTGCGCACGACGACGCGCGCGCGTGCACTTGGTTCCGTTTTTTGCACAAAGGTTTCTTGCGACATCACGCGCACAAGGGCGTTCGAACAATTTCGACATGCGCGCGCACGGAGCCCCGCTTGGTAGCATGTTGGGAACATGCTGAACAAATCATTGTTGCGAAACCATGTGTTTTTTTTATATCTTGGGCACTGGACTTTGAAATCCTTACGGAACTAAAAGTTGTTGACAGATTTCAGCATGCGCGTGACGACGCGCGCGTGTATACGTCGCCCGTTTTTGCCAGGGACTCGTGCAACCGGATGATACTTGATAAACGAATGTGCGCGCATAGTATTTCTTGCGGAGGATGACGGGGGAGTCGATACCGGTTCCCTGGGATGGAACGAATTTGAATTTAGGATGGGCGATGGGGCGCGGTCATATGTAAATTGTAATACGAAAAAGGGTGCTGATAATCCGGGGGGGGGGGGAGCATCTATTCTCTGTTTGGAAGGTCGCCGGAAATCAAAAGGGCGCTGGAAACCAACGATGCGCCGAACACCAAAAAAATGCGCGGAAAACCAAACAGGACGTCGAAAACCAAAGGATCGCCGAAAACCGCATGAGTGCCGAAACACAAAAGAGCGCAACAAAAACGCATGTAGTGTGAGCTGTGTTGCGTAAGCTGCAATATGCGAGCTATGTGGTGTCAGCTATATGGTGAAATTGACTACCCTGCACCGAGATCGACCACGTCCCACGCACTTGAAAATATCCCGCCCACCCACCCGGGCCTTGGTTTGCAAAAGCCCATGCAGAGGCGATTGCGAAGAGTGCTTGGCATTGGCTGATGCATCTCTGCGGCCGCGCCAGCCCGCGCATGCTCGCGCGAGAGGCGGCCAGCTTGTTCGGCGCGGCCGACGCGAACGCGGTGGCGCTGACCGCTTGGCACATCCCAGCAGGCACTTAAGTCTGTGCGAGTCTGCGACTTGGGTGGGCGCGGTATCATGGCAACGTCGACGACGGTAGACACGGTGACAATAGTAGCGATGGTGACGCTGTTGACAACGACGACGGCAAGGCCAATGACGGCGCCGATGCTGGTCATGCCGGCGACGGTGACTCCTCGCGTGGGAGATGAAGGTTTCGGAAGGAGTTCGACATGCGCGCGCGGCCGACTCGCGAGAGTTGCTCGCATGACATTATTTGACAGGGATCGTGCCCTCCACAGCAAGCGCGCAAGGGCGTTCGAATGATTTCGGCATGCGGCGCGAGAGGCCCGTGCGACTGAACTCAAAAAACATGTTGCACAAAATATGGTTTTCTCAAGAATTCGCAAGAACGCGAGCGCATGTTTTTTGAACATTGCTGTTGCGACACCATGTGCTTTGTATGTGTTTTGGACATTCGGGTTTGCAATCTTTGCGAAGCCATTTTTTTTTGATTTTTTTGTATGTATATATATATATATATATATATTAAACAAAAATCGGCACGCGCGCGCAACGACGCGCGCGCGTGCGCACGTTGTTTCGCAAAGTTCGAACGATTTCGACCTTCGCGCGCGAAGCCTGTTTGGTAGCATGTTTTATGAACGTGCTGAAGAACCCTTGATTTTCTTAAGATTTCGCAGGGGCGCGCGCGCAAGCGTTTTTTGACATTCCTTCTTGCGGGACATGTTTTACAATGTTTTGGTAATCGATTCGGAAATCCGTACGACGCCGCGGGTTTTCAGCACGCGCGCGCGACAACGCGCGCGCGCGTGCACTTCGTCTCATGTGTTTGCAAGGGGTTCTTGCACATTTGTAGTTTTCGATGAACGAGTGCGTGCGCCCAGCTTTTTTGCAGAGGATGGTTGGGGGGGATACCGCCCCCCCTGGATTGGTAGGGGTTCCTATTTAGGATGGACGACGGGGCGGAATCGTATGCAAATTGCGATACGAAAAGGGGTGCTGATAATTCCTGGGGGTAGAGTCTACTATTGTACTATCTCTCCCTATGTATATACACGCAGTGTGAGCTATGTGGTGTAAGCTGTGGTGCGATCTGTGTGGTGTGAGCTATGCAGTGCATGCGCGCACGGGTTCCGCACGAGGCGTCCGCGGGCGGCAGCGCGGCGAACCCTCGGCGGACCCACTCGGCGCGCGGGGCGCCCGCGAGCGGCAGCGTGGCGAGACGTCGGCCGATCCACTGGTTTGGCGAGAGAGGTGGAAGCAGTGCGGGGACCATCTATAAGGACGGAAATCCACAAGGTGGAGTCAGTGCGGGGAGCATCGAAAGAGGTTGAGTGGAATCAGTGCGGGGAGCATCGAGATTGTTTGGCGAAAGAGGTGGGATCAGTGCGAAAGAGGTGGAATCAGTGCGGGGACCATCGAAAGAGGTTGATTGGAGCGGTGGAATCAGTGCGGGGACCACCTATAAGGACGGAAAACCGCAAGGGGTGCGCGGAAAACCAAACAGGCCGCCGAAAACCACATGAGCGCCGAAAGCCAAAGGAACGTCGAAAACCACAGGAGCGCCGAACTCCAAGGAAAAACCGACGGCCAAAAGAGGCGCCGAAAACCAAAGAGGCGCCGAAAACCAAAGAAACGTTGAAAACCAAAAGTACGCCGCAAGGCAACGGAATGCCGAAAACCAAAAAAACAAAGTAGCTTCGAATCCCCCTTTCGGACAGGGCTCCCCAGCTGGAAAACTAACAGAAGGATGGGTGAGGGGGGTAGCTTCGGAAGTCCCTCCCCCTTTGGAAAGCGG